CCCCAAAATAACCTCTATGCAAAAAACCCAGGCCCCAGCGCAACACGCCCTCTTAGGATTTGGGGTTTAGGGTGTAGGATTTAGGGTTGAAGGTTCAGGGTTCAGGGTTTGGGGTTTTTGGCTCCAGGGTCCAGGATTGAGGGTGTAGGCTTCAAAGCACGAAAGGGAGATGAAAACAGAACTCCAGATTTCGGCCTGAGACCTCACATCGCTGACCTAGGGCAGGTCATTTTACTTGGGGTTTAGTAGGGAAAAATAAGGGAATCTATCATAGGGATTAGATAGGGATTACATATGGATCATATTTACCTGGGGTGAGTAGGGAATAAGGGAATGTACAGGTAGGGATTCTATACGTATGTGTATATATATATAGATTATATTCCCTTATTAGGGAACAAGGGAGTTTATCATATAGGGATTATATTCCACGTCATGGGGTGTTCTGATCTCAGTGCTGACGTGCTCGCCATTGGATAGGCCAGGGAGGTCAGCAGAAATAGTTATTGCTTGCCGCCCGACAGAATGAAGCAACCAAGACTCGTCCTAGTTCATCCGCACATCCGCACCAAGTTGTAAGTAAGCAGGAGGCTGCCCCCTAGTAAAGGCGGCTTAGATGGTCGAGCTGCAATCCCCCAAAAAGCTTGGTGCAATTCCTGCAGAACCTCTGGCAACCTCAAAAGTTTTCCTACATCACCAGCATACTATAGCAAACCCTTGAAAGACAGCTACAGGCGTGGCTGAGGCCAAGAACTATTGGGTCTACTCCTCCATGCTTCTCGAGTCCGTGCCGCCGCCATGTTTGGGATTCAGGGATTCAGGTAAGCCATCGCTTCCCTCGAAAACTAAACGACGTCCCCCCCTCTCCTACTACGCAAACCGCCAAGGGTATTTGTTCTTGGGGAGGCTCATCTCCCGAGGCCCCACAGTAGCCTCAGAAACCAAAAGCTCTGATTCAAATGGATGTTAAGTGCATCCTTAACTACGTCTTCCTGGATATCGACCTACTTCACTCCTGATTTACCCCAAATTGACTCCTTTGGAGTAGTATTTTTGCCTTTCAAAAAGGCTAGGCCCCCGCTCAGAGTGTTTGTTATGAGGGGAGTTTATTCCCAGGGGGAAAGGATTAGTGGAGTTGGTAGTTGTCAACTCACATTTGTACTGTTGCGTGGTCTCTCAGATGTTTTTGCTTTGACTATGCGCCTCCATGGTTGCGTTGGTCGTGAACACTTGCTCTTCCATCCTTGGTCTTCGTTACATGAGCTTCAGCGAGAGGCACGCAGCAGCACGCTGTCGGACCGAGTCATTTCTCTGACTCAAATGCATGCAACTGTGGCTCTTACAGGAGGGAGCTTGGCTTGGCCGCCAGGACAACCGAACCAACATGGCCGTGTTCTTGCGCTCCGACAAGATCATGAACACTGTCAGACCCCCGATCTGATGCAGGGGCTTGCTTCAAACGTTGCATGCGCAGAATGGAATAAGTGTGGGAGGCTTGTGTGTGCTGACAACCTTCTGAGCAACTCCAGCTCTAACATCTTTCATCTTTCTAACATTGGGGTTATATTGGGATAATGGAAAAGAAAATGGAAACCTGTATGTTGGGGTCTTATTGGGGTATTTACAGCCATTCTGAATGATCCGTAGAAATGTGCTTGACTTCGGGAAGGTTTGTGGCTTGCAGAACAACACGGACCGCCAGTACACGATCGACTGCACCTCAGACTTGTGTCCATGAAACAATGGTAAGAATATGTAAGGATGGTAAAAGCACTAGTACGAGTATTAGCAAGAGTAATAGTAATAGTAATCGCCATAAGGATCACGATCTGTAATAATAGTACCAATACTAGCACATCCTAATGTCAGGTGCGACCTCACCAGAAACGTAGTTGTTTCGCAGACCTGTCCAAAGTGGGTATATAGTAGCTTCCAAATTCTGTCCTATATATTCCTATGTCACCTACATAACCCTATATATCCCCATATAACCTATATATATATATAGTCCTATATCCCTCAGTAACTCTTCATGTTGACAGTATGGTTGCCAAAGGTGCCAGCCTCGCAATGCAGCAATGGCAAGTGCAACGTTACGATCGACGGAGTCATCACCGACAAGAGGCAAGCCCCGGCGCTAGGTGATTGTAGAATACAGGGTTTAGGGATTAGGGTTTAAGGATTAAGGTTTAGAGTCCCCCCTAAGTAAATAGACTATGGAGTATACAATTATTGGGATCTAGCGATGATATTGGGTACTTCCATAGGCAACAGCGTCTACCTGACCTTCTTCTGCATAGGTGTTGTTAAAAAAGAATCTGCGGTTTCTATATAATCCGCTGAGCCATCCCGGCAGGTATGTCTTCAACATCGTAGCCGAGTCATCGAGGGATCATCGAATGGCTTATGTCTGTGCCTCAGTTGACTTGGAGCTCGAGCGCTTCCGCGTCCAACGCAGAGACGGCACCCGAAGGGAAGAGCTGGGCAAGTTAGCCTGGAGAAGGGCGGGCATGCAGCACGAGCCGCCCAGTGCCGAACGCCTCCCAGGACATACTCGCACACGCAGGGATTTGGAAGTCCTTGAAAAAAGTACCTTGTTTTGGTGAATCCGGGCAAATGTTCGACGTTTCCGTGGCCATAGCTGGCACAAGCCTGGGCATGGCTAAAATCAGCAGTTTGTAATCAGCAGCTCATGACGAATCACTTCTCTACATAATTCCTGGGTCTTCCAAATGCCCCTCTAGGAAGAAGCAGCACAACTACCTCCAAAAGCAAGATGGGCTGCGCACATGTCCAAGCAGATTCCGGATATTGCCTGTATACTCCCACCAACCAGCATATGCCAAAAGCAGACATGTTGCAAAACAGTTCGTTGAAGCATCACCGAGCATGATCAGAACACCCCGAGCAGATTGAATTTGCCACAGGACAGCTCATATGACATGTGATCCCAGTTTCATCATTGTGGTTGCCTCCTCGTTCGAAATTGTTGGCGAAATGTGTTTCACCGTTCTGCTGCTGCAGATTTGAAGACGCGTCTTGAACACGCATCTGCCTACGATTATGCTTGGAGTCGCCAAGCAGGAATCCAAAACAGCATAAGAGCCTTGCCGCGCAGAATCGTCTGATGTTTCACCGTATGACGCTTCACGGTGGCATGGCACTTGATGCTGCCACACTGCTGCCTGTGGTATGGAGTGTGTTGCTATGACCCCTAGCAACATTCAACTTGAAATGTGCTGTGGAAACTGCAGCAAACCAGCTCCTGCAAGGAAAAGACAGCACAAAGAGCCTCCTGCAATGTCAGCAGCAGACACATTCGCCAAACTCATCACTCAGTACTCTTCCAAAGCTTGGGGTTCCTGCGTTGTTTGCCTTGCTTTTGCTCCAAAGCAGAAGGGTAAAGTGGCTTGCCCCAAAACCTTTCAGAAGGGAAACTACATGAATCTTCCTGCATCAAGGCTTTGAGTTGTTGGCGTTTGGCGGAGGACAGTTAGGTGCCTGAATATCAGCTTCATCAGAGACATGGACCACACTAGCAATCCTGCGCTTGTTTGGTCATGTCAATATGCAGGCCTGGCAGACCTCGGCGTGCCAAGCCTGTGAAAGTCGATAGAGAATTCCCGACAATTGCCCTGATCATCCTGGTTCTGTTTGAACTTCAGATGCAATTGCTTTCTCCCATGCAAGACCCGTTCAAGAGACATCAAAATGCTGGCTAAGTCTCCAGCATGCTAGCAGCTTACATTGGGGCCTCACGATCTCGAGCCATCTCAAGGATCCTGATTTCATTTGATAATCGAGGTGTCTTCCCTAACTACGGGTATTTCCTTGTTTGTGATAATTCGAACTATGGAAGGCAAAAATCAATCTTCATGTACTGCCACATTCCTGGAAGTTTCAGTCCCCTTCAAAGAATCAACAAGTAATGCCTTTTGCCAAAGATGACGTCTTGTCGGGTATTGCTGCAGGAATCTTAGGTGTAAGATCTATCCACTTCCACGAGAACCCAAAACGAGTGCCTTCCATACACAAGCCCCTGCAGAGTCCCGAACCGATCAAGGCGGGGCTCATCATGCGAACCGACTGGGAGGTGCGAAGTACTACGTGCTGTGCAGGGAATCCAGCATGTGCAGGGTATGTAGTCCTCTTGAACAAGAGGGTCTTCAGAACACGTTCTCAACAGACTCCATATTTCTTCATTGTGACGATCACTTACGGATGGCGCCGCTTTCAAGATTTATTCTCGAGACCTCCTTCATTTTCACCGTAAGCAAGGAAGGCAGCCAGTTTTGCAGCCTGTGCTGTAGGAGGGCTTGAGTGGGCGCGCGGTTCATGTTTCCAGTAACAAGCTTGCATTGCAGTTCCTGAAAGCTTCTTTTCCGAGTGAGACACAGAAAGAGAGAGAGAGAGAGAGAGAGCGTAGCCATTTTGGCTCAAGTCTCCGCCGCGCGAACCCCCTTGGGGGAAGCGCCCTCGGCCAAGGCCCGCTTCGGGGGTGGGGGTCTTCCCTGTCCCTGCGGGAGGTGGACTTGTGCCTGAGGGGGGAGGCTTGAGGCCTCATTACCGCGGCCATTTCTAAGACAAACCAGGTGAGCAGGACGCCCCCCGCGCAGGGAAACTGAACCCCTCTTGACCTTTGTAGGGCATCACTGGGACACGGGCTGATCGTTTGGGGGAACACTGGATAAGCCCCTCTGCTGCGGGAACTGCAAACCTGAGTACCGACTTTGAACACGAATCTAAGTTGTTTCGGGAGTAGGAGGTGAGGTGGGAGGGAGATGTCTCACTACCCGGGTCCATAGTTTTCCAGGTACCTACTGGGGCGCCCCTTTTGGGGAAACAGTCTGTGTAAACAAGATTGAGAGAAAGTAGTGCAAGCCATGGCCGCTCGCCGTACACTTCAAGCTGAGGGAACTGGACAGGACAGTGGAGGAGGTATTGGGACAAGAACCACCGCATCGATGATTAGGGAAGAAGGTACAGTGCCGACCCGGGAGCATAGAGACGGAAAGACTGGCGGGGAAGTACGTGAAGAAGAAAAGCCTCTCGGTGCAACCTCTGAGATGGACAAAGAAACTTGCTGGTCGTGCGAATCTGGAGGAAGAATCAAAACGGCCCACACTTACAAGGAGGGCTGGCTGCAGCAAGATGCGGAAACAAGACAGTTGTGGGAAGGATAGCACCCGGACCTGGAAGAGGACACAGTCCGTTTGGCGAAGGAAATCCAAAAGATGGACCTCCAACTTGGCGAAGGCGCAGATGTTCAATGTATTAGAACTCAGTTGACAGAATGGGGGGTTCAAGAGATTGTACAGACAGAGTTTCAGGAAAGAACGCCGGAGACGGCACGTTAGAGGAAGCAAAGAGGCAAGACAATTACTGATACATACCGTGACCAACTGAGACAACAAGCAATGCTTTTTAACTGGACAGAGACACCGTGCAATACTGTGACAGGGAGGTAAAGTGCGAGAAAGGAGAGAGGGAATTCAGCATGCCGCTAAGACCCCCTTGCAAAAGACAGGGGGGAATTAGCTTACTGAGA